AGATGTACCACAGTTTTCTAATCCCTTCATCTGCTGATGGGCACTTAGGCTGTAAGATAAATATTGCAGTCTTTGTTGAGAAACATACAATGGATTTGTATATTATATATCTACTAGGGGCCTGGTGCACAAAATTCGTGCACTAGGTCGGGGAGAGGGGTCCCTCAGCCAAGCCTGTGCCCTCTCGCAGTCCGGGAGCCCTCAGGAGATGTCCGACTGACGGGCAGCCGGCCTAAGCCGGCAGTCAGACATCCTTAGCACTGCCACGGAGGCGGGAGCCTCTCCCGCCACCACCACTGCATTCGCCAGCCGTGAGCCCAGCTCAGGGCTTCTAGCTGAGTGACACTCCCCCTGTGGGAGCTCACTCACCACCAGGGGCAGCTCCTGCATCGAGCGTCTGCCCCCTGGTGGTCAGTGCACATCATAGCTACCAGTTGTTCTGCCGTTCGGTTGATTTGCATATTAGCCTTTTATTATATAGGGTAATATAAAACCCTAAGCGACTGGTCTACCGTTCTAGTTTGACCGGTCGCTATGACACGCACTGACCACCAGGGGCAGACGCTCAATGCAGGAGCTGCCCGCTGGTGGTCAGGGCGCTCCCACAGTGGGAGCACCACTCAGCTGACGGGTGCCAGACTCTGGGCTCATGGCTAGCAAGCGCAGCTGTGGCAACGTGAGCCTCTCCTGCCTCCTTGGAAGTGGTACTGAGCTGCCACAGTGTGGTGCCCGGCCCGGGTTTGGACTCCTCCCCAGCCGCCTGCCACTTCGTGCACTACTACATTCCTCAGGGGATGTCAGATTGTCGATTTCAGCCTGAACACCACAGGTCCCTAGCCGAAACCAACAGTCCGACATCCCCCAAGGAGTCCTGGATTGCGAGAGGGCGCAAGCCAGGCTGAGGGACCCCACCAGTGCACGAATCCATGCACTGGGCCTCTAGTCTATATAAAACCCTAAGCAGCCAGTCGATGCGTGCTATTAGGGGGCAGACGCTTAACGCAGGAGCTGCCCCCTGGTGGTCTGTGCATTCCCACAGCGGGAGCGCCGCTCAGCTGACCTATAGGCGCCAGACACTGGGCTCACAGCTGGCGAGCGCAGCTGTGGCAGTACAAGCTTCTCCTGTCTCCACAGCAGTGCTACCAAGCAGGGCTGGGATGAGCGGGAGC